TTTTAAAAAATTTTTAAAAAGACCCCCATTTTTATCCGGTTTTTGGGTTTGGGTTTGGCTTTTTTTTTTTTTTTTTTTTTTTTTTTTTAAATCAATGATTATGATTATCCAATATCAACATTAATAAAATCCATAAAGAAATAAAAAATTGTGAAGAAACTAAAATGAAAACTATGCTTTAGTTTATGTTTGGCAAAACAATTTTATCGGTGAGCAATTCGTTTTATTTATTTGCTTAAATCTAATTTGGTGACATTTGCTAATGTAGGTGAATGTTTATCTTGACATTAAAACAGTCTGTCTGAGCCAGTGTAATGTCAATTTTATTTATATTTTCTAGTTGGAAAAAAAACCAGCTATAGTTTGAAGTTGTGATGTGTTGTAAAAAGAAGAGCAAAATATCCCAAATATATTTATTCCTTTAATTATTATAATTATCAGACACCTCAAAACCATAATCTTGCAAGAAGGCAGCCTCTTCCTTTATTTTTAACTCAAAGCCTGTAAATCCAGAATAAATACAGCAGATTAGCAACACAGAGGCAGGAGGAGCTTTCTATGTCATTTTAGGAAAGTCAAAACAATTCATTTATTTTTAAAATCATTTTATGGTGTAACATCTCTAAATGTTGCAAACTGTCTACATTTTTACTAAACTAGTTTTAAGAAAGAATAAAATTTAAAATAAATTCTTAGCTTCTGCTGAAAAGTACAGATTTTCTAAGGTTCTCATTGAGTAAAATTTTGTTTTTCCTGAAGCTAGCTGGCTGCTAACAGTGAGACTAGGTAAAGGTAAAGGTAATTTTATTTATATAGCACATTTTCAGCAACAAGGCAATTCAAAGCTCTTTACAGGAATTAAAGCGCTTATAAACCAAAGGAAAGAGCAAAAGAAGAAAAAGGATCTAATGTTGATCTAAAGTATGTAAACTAGGTTCTCCTGTTCAGGGTTGCTAAGTTTCCTCTGGTCTAACTCCATTTCTGGGTTGGGAGAACAGGAGTCTAAAACAAAGTTTCAATCCAAATGTATCTGCATCTAGATACTGAAACTCTACAGTTTCTGAAACAATAAACTAAAGAGAGACTAATCTAACTCCTTTTCTGGGTTAAAAGTGAGTAGTTACAGTTTTTAACGAGTAGTAATATAACAGTAACTAAGTGGTGACAGTTCCTGTTGATTATTTCTGGATTCTACGTTCGTAGTAATTCTAATCTTAATTCCTTTTCTGGGCTGTATAATATTAATCTACATAGTGCGTATTCCACAATTTCTGATACTACTAATAAACTAAAATAATCCTTTTCTGGGTTAAATAGGGAGTACGCCAATGTTTCTAACAGGTAAACTAAAGTTTAGGCAGCAAAACTGTAGCAGAGGAAGTTTTTCCGCTCTGAGCAGTCTCTGGGCTCCACGCTGCCGGTGTCGTTCTTGGATAACGCTCCGCAGTGCTGCTCCAGCATGGGGCACTGAGGCAGGTCAGAGGTCATCGCTGCTCCGTTCACCCACACCCACTCATCGCCCAGGAAACGGAGGCCGGTCCACACCTGCAGGAGAAAAACAGTGGATTCCAGAGATCTATCCAAAGTCCAGAAAAATACGGTTTTCAGACATGATGCCACTGATTATTGGCAAAGAAATATCCACTGGATGAGCAAAGCTGGAAGAGACGATTTCATCTATTTGTGGATTTTCTGTGCAAAGTAATTCAAATTATTTGTTGAAAATTTGCCTGTCTGCAAATTATCTTCATACGGCATATATAAAATATTCAATACAAAATGAATCTGGAGGAGATGAGATAACTAGACTCACCGCTACTGGTTGAGTTTAAGAGCAGCCGATCCAGGACCAAAGAAAACAAGAAAATGTTTGCCAAAAATGCTCTGAAATTTTTAGATTAAAGTCAGAAATTATTTAGAAAACACAAGGAAATTTCTGAGCTTCAACAGCCAAAATGAGCAAGAATATATTCAAACATTTTGACATTAATTTCAAAAGAATTATAGAAAATCCTTCAAAATTTAAAAAGTTTAATATTAGTAACTTTTGAAGCTCAGAAATGTTTATTTTTTTTCCTAGAAAAAAATAAACATTAATAAAAATGTAAAAAATTCAGAGTTTTTCTCACAAATGTTCGACTTTTGGAGCTCAGAAATTTCCTTCCAGTACTAACAGCAGAAATACAGTCAGACGGTTTTCTGACTGTTTTCTCAGTCAGAAAACGACCTTCAGAGCCAGAGGAGGATCTCAGCGCTGTCAATCATCCTCCTTCAGGCTTCAGTAAGCTTCAGTAAAGGAGGATGATTGACAGCGCTAAGACCCTCCTCCTGGCTCTGATTGGTTGTTTTTGACCTTTTGTGCACTGGTAGGGGGTGGAGGTGTTTGGCTTTGTTTTTTTCTGTTGGGACGTAGTGAGCATAGTTTTGTAAACTGCAGCCTTAAGGTCAGACCCGCGGTGTTTGAACGCACCTCCTCGGTGTCTGCCGCCATGATTTTGCCCATCATGTACTGGTGTTCGTCTCCAGGCTGAACGCTGACCAGGTCGAAGCGGAGGCCGTCTCTGCTGAGGCCCCGGCAGTGCTCCAGCGCCTCCTCCCAGCTCTTCTCCTCCGTCACCAGCAGCACGTTGACGTTCCCGTCCCACATGCAGACGAAGGGAAGCCGGACGTCGCAGGGCTCGGTGGCCATCAGCCTGCTCAGCGAGGACAAGGCCACGCAGTTGGCGTCGCTGCTCGGCTCGCCATGTTTCCAGCTTGTAACCCCTGAATCCCCCGAACTCCAGCTGAATGAGCTCCCACCTAAAACAGATACGAAGCTTTAGCGCATGTAAGAGTTAATGGTCTGTTTTCAATCTGCAGTAAAAGTCACATATCGATCCTGTCTGTGTGTTTCATCGGTAAAGACAGAGCCGGCCCAAGGCATATGCTGCTAAGGGCCCCTGCATCACCAGTGGGCCCCAAGAAACCACCAAGCTAGCATGATTATATATTTAAAACAATGTTGAATTATACAATCTGACTGCTACCGCAAATGAAAAAAATGATTTCTATTTTTATGGTTGTTACAGAAATAATAGATCCACCTGTTGGCTTGCTGACACTATATATAAAATAACTAATTGCTAACTTAGTTAAATGTTTTTCAATTCATATATCTATATTTTAATAATAGAGGGATTCTTAACCTAGGGTTTACAGTTGAATTATTGAAACCTCATTTAATTTATCTGTATATTTATATGTTACCTTTATGCATGTGTACTTTTTAAAATGTATTTAACATTTTATTTTTTCATGTCTTTTTTAGCTGAATTTTATTTTATTTTAAAATGTTGATTGTGGGTGGAGGTGTTCAATGTTTCAATGTGTTCTCTATGTTTCATATATGCAAAAAAACTTTAGATTTTTCAGGTGATGTTTCTGTCAAATAGCTCAAATAAAGTGGCACACTTAATACCATTCTGCATTTCAAAATCCAAATTTTATTTTATTTTTGGTTGCTGCTCCTGATATTATTGTCCAGTTAATTTCTTAAGAAAAATTTGAGCTGACTGTGGATTTTCTCTCATTCAACGTCAGATTTATCTGCAACAATATTTGCATGACAGAAAGTTTACAACATCTTTAAAATCTGTATTTTCAGAAAAATATTTAGTGATATGTGGCTACAGCAAATCAGATTTTATATCAGTGATGTCACTGAAAACCTGTAGCAGGTTGCATCTCTGGTTGTTACCTCCTCTGCGCAGTCCAATCCAGATGGGAAAGTCAAACTCAGTAAAGATCTGGTTCATGTCGGAGCTGCTGAAACTGGCCAGATTTCCGTTCTGGGACTTGCAGTAGTCCAAGGCCTCCAGCCAAGTCTTCGTCTCATTTACAAACGTGTATTCTTCTCCATCCCGACAGACAAACATCAGACGAGTTCCACAATCTCTGGAATAAATCCTTCAGAGAAATCAAAAGAAGGTACATTTAATGCAAAAATTATTTTTACAGTGTTCATTTAGAAAACAGTAGATTGCCAGCGTATAAAATAAAACGGTCAATCAGATTGTAGCTTATTTAAACAATGAGACATTAATAAGTTTTTTTTTTCAAGGTTTATAGTTTGGAGGATGATTGTGTTGACTGCATATAGACTAATGACTATCAGTAAGAAAAAAATCAAAACTGTAAAAAATAAAAAGTAATACATGTGTATATAAAATTGTGAGAATAAAGTCCTACAAAAGTAAACTTTAAATAATATTTAATATCTCCAATATGACTTTATTCTCATAATTTTATGACTCTTATTGAAATATTTTTAATATTATTTTCATATTATTTTGACTTCATTCTTATATGACTTTATTCTCAAATTACTATAACTTTATTCTCATGATTTTATTATTTTTTTGTATGTTTTCCTGTATGGTACTAATACTGAAAAGATTTTTAGATAGGAAAAAAGGCAATCATACTACATTAAAGCATTATCAGCTGTTATTTTAACACTTCTACATAATGTCCCACAGAAAATTGAATGAAAACTAGTGTCAAATTAACAAAGGAGAGCCCAGATTCATTTAGACTGAATGAAACTAAATACATTAGATACCCAGTTAAATTGATCTCATCATTTCTTTAAAGTCCATTACTTTTTGTTACTGAAATAGACGGAGGCACAGTATTCCTGGTGTGGCTCATTCTTCCCCCAGTCTGAGACGTGATAGTACGCTCCATCAGACCATTTCCAGCTCCACCATCTTCTGTAAAGGCCGACCCACACCAGGTACTGCTTCAAGTCCATGCTGTCCATGTCTGAGGCCGTAGAGATGGTGGCCAAGTCGGTGTAATAGCTTTGGAGAAAAACACATAAATAGTTACATTTGCTAAATAATCCTCCGTGGTGAAGCGTGAAACAGGCTCTGACTCCTGGTTTGGACAATTTCCTGAACGTCTTTTCTCTTCTACCTTAAAAAAAGTACAAGTGGACAAAACAAATCTTAAAAACAGTCATGAACTGGACTGAAAGGTAGCAAAGATCCAACTAAAGTTCGATCAAAAATGTTGAAAGACCTTCAGTGAAATTCATTTCATTTCAGTTGTGTTCTGATTGCCGATTATTCTCTTTCAGAAAAAAATTCAGAGATTCATCAATTAACGTCTAGTTTTTCAATCTCTTAAGTTCTTTTTACTGCTGTTTCCTGTCCATCTGTCTGTTTTCTTTTCTGTAACTTCAGTTCTTGATGTTTATCCTTTTTATGATCACATAAAAGCATATTATCGCTGGAAAGCCTCACCTCTTGCAGAAATGCTGCGCCTCGTCCCACGTCAAACCGAAGGTGAAATGTATGTAATATTTAGTCGGCGGCGCTTCAGATGCGATCAAGCAGCTGAGCAGAACCAGCGATCCCAGCAGGCTGCTCTGCATCTTTTTTCCTTTATATCCAAAAAGTTTTTTAATTCAGCTTCACTTCATGCTTTCTTTTGCTATTAAAAAAGCAAAAACAAATTATTCACATGAGCACATAACAGATGTAAACTCTGATCATGTACTGTCAGTGTTAGGTAATTTACCAGTTGCCTGTCTTCACCCACTGGCTTTTCTTTCTGGTCTTGAACTTGATTGATGAGCCAACAAAGTCCAACTGGACGTCTTGTTATTTTAGGCTGTATTTGCCAGAGCAGGCATTTGCCTGGGAGACACACTTAAAGTCATCTATCACGCCCATCTCGCCTTTAAGACATTTGATTGCTGGCAAATCAGTGGAAAGATTTTCCTACAGGTGAAAAACAGGAAAATATTCTTCCTGAAGAAAAGGACGAAGCAGGGAAATAAAGGGATTACTTTGCCCGACATGAAGTGTTTCAACTGACGACAAAATGCTACAGCCTGGATCGCCTGGAGAAAAATGTCACAAAAGTGAGAAATAAAAGCTTAATTGATTAACACCGAGATAAAGACATGAATGCTCCTGTTTCCTCAGTCCAGAGATGGTCGTCCTGTTTTCTCCTGCAAGGTCACATCTGGCTGCAAGGTCACGGTTTGCATATTTTTCCTCATTTGATTAACAGAGTCAATGCAGAAAATCACACAGTCTTCAAACGTCTTGGTTGGAAAATAATGGAAGTAAATATTAACTTACATGTTGGACTTTATCACCCCGCTTTAGCCCAATTTTTAACTCTATTTTTTATTCAGTTTTAAACATCCATCACTGTGGGATGTGGCTCATCCACTAAACTCGCTGATCTCCCCTCCATTCAGGGCTTGTACAGGTCAAAGGTCAGGACAATGGCCTTTAACATAACTGGTATGAAGCACATTCATGTGGTGATAAATTACTATTGGTGTCCTTGGTTTGTGATGTTGGCGTCACGTAATTCCACATTGTCCCAGAAAGATTAGAGGTCAGATCGGGCCGATGGAGCTGGTGACGGGTTAATGCTGCAGGTTAGAGTTTATTCTGACTGGTTTTTACTGTTGTAAGGTAATTTACGTAGCACATTTTCAGCAACAAGGCAGCTCAAAGTGCTTTACATGAACTAGAAGGAAATACAATCAAAACTACAAAACCAAAAGAGAAACAAAAAGCTAAAAGTACAAAACTAGATATTGGTTCTTAATGCCTTATAAGAGTCCATAATTTATAAACTAGTCGGGGTTTCTCTGGATTGTACTGATAAAACTAAATGTTGGTACCGGTTGTTCTGGGTTCAGTTCTAGATTTGTACAATCTGGAGTTAAATGTTGGTTCTCCATGTCTGATTCTTGCTCTGGGTGGCTAAAAAAACCAACAGGAGTTTCTTTAAGTCTTGCTCCGATATAAAGCTAAATGTTGGTCAGAACTCCATGTTATATATTTATTTATAGAATAAGGTTCTATTTTCCAGATCGTTCTTACGGAGGCTGGAAAAATGGCAAAAAAAAAAAAATTAATTTGAAATGTTATTGTGAAAAGTGCATAGACATGCCCTGATGTATGATCATTTCAGACAGCAATACAATCCTCCATTCCTCTATTATTCCCCCAGCATTATGACTTTCTACTTCACTGTTTTTTCATGGTCACTCTGCTCTCAAATACTATTTAGAGCAAAGAGGAACTGAAGTCAGAGTTCTTGTTTGTGTGCAAATGTGGCAAATAAGTCTGATCCAGAGTCCAAGGCGAGGTTTGTCCGCATTAAATAAACAGAGTGCATGGTTGTGTTTTCAATTTCAAGGAAACATATTGTATGAAATTCATTTTTTTCACATTTCTGTTTGGGTCTCCACTGTTTCTAGAAACAGATTAAGAACTTAAAAAGCCACCCAGCCGTTTTCTGGCAGGAAGTTAATGTTTTTTGGTGTCTGGAAAACAAACCATCCCAAAAACTTTCCAATTGTTAAGCCACAATTGGCGGCCACTGTGCTGTTACCTAGCAACCTCGTAACCTAGCAACATAACCTAGCTGAGCTCCAGCATGTTTGGTCAGCTGGTTTTACCACTGTACAATGGCTGCTGGAAAAGACAAGTGTCTTGTTGTTGATTTACCATCCAAAAACCACTTCCTGCATTTTTGCTGGTTGTGCAGGAAGTGCTACTTCTGCTTTTCAAAGATGTGCAGTTGTAATGGCACATCTGTTTTCAACCATTTTCACATATATAAAGGTCAAGTATAAACATTGAGTTTGAGGGCGTGGCCAGCAGCAGATTATTTGAATTTAAAGTGACTCTAAAACAGAAGCTCAAAATAGGCAGAACTGACCAAACAAAAACCTAATTATCTAAAAATCATTTTGTGGAAAACAATTTATATATTTGAAGCATAAAAGGTCACTTTTAAGGATCAGTCTTACACATGAGATCCTTATTGTGAGATTCATTATCAGTGCAACACACTTCTGTGGACAATTTGAGCATAGTAGGGAAATAAAAGAGAATCACAATCACTTATTAATAACATTTATTTCATGATTGAATATGTGCTTATTTTAAAGTCTTTAGATAAATCAATTTTTTTAACTGTTGACTTTTAGAAAAGGTGTGATGGAAGAGCCATTTTTATTCTTTTTTTAAAGAAATCATGATGACCGCAGCAACTTATTCACAGACTTAAACAGTTTTAGCCACTTTCTCCAAAGATAAAAGCATTTTTAAGAACTTAAACAAAACATTAAAACACATGCTGAACACTTTCTAAGGATAGTACAGTATTTTGATTTCCTTAAATTTCTATCAGCAAAATCCTGTCAATCATTCACTCTAACTCTGACAGATTAACTTTCAATTAAAGACTAATAACTAATAACTTAGGTATGTGGTTATGCTTGTTTCTGTTAACTCATATTCTGAATCTAGAGTTTCAAGACGATGGCTGGACATTTCTGCAGGATGTTTGTTGCAGAAACACTCAGATGCTTTTGGTGACATTAGTAGCTGTAGCAGAGGAAGTTTTTTCTCTCCAGGCAGTCTCTGGCAGCCACGTTGCTCCTGTCGTTCTTAGAGATGGCCCCACAGTGCCGGCCCAGCGGGGGGCATTTCAGCAGGTCAGTGTACGACACATCTTTCCCATCTATCCACAGCCATTCATCTCCCAGGAAACGCAGACCGGTCCAAACCTACCAGAAGGAACAGAAATTAAACCTTTCATGCCTGAAACTCCTTCAAGTTGGCAAATATTCCTCCACACTCTGTAAATAATGTGAACAAAGCGAGAAAATGGCTCCAGAAACAACATTTTCCTCTCTGTTGTCATGAAGTCGCTCAGATTTTGCTTCGTGTTTTGCAGAGCAGGGATGGAGGCAAAAATGGTTCTTCTGATATCAAGACCGAATGCTTAGGATGTCAACAAATATTTCAGAGCATTGCTTTTTGTACAAAGCAAAAAGCAAAAAAATATGGAAAACAGTTAACTACTCAATCAAAAGTACTTATTGGTATTAAAACAAGGTATGCAACAAAATAAATAAATTCTGAAATCACACTTTAGTGAAGATTCACAAATGTCACACATTTGGCTTTAAATATTCTGCTATTAGTTGAGAATAATCCAGTTCAGGTTTGAAAAGTCTAGGTGTTGTAGTTTTTTTAACTAGAGTAGATAAAAGATGCTGAAGGTAGCAGAAAATTTGGTGGAATCGTCCTTTAGCCATTTACCAAATTCAGCTTCAAGAGCCACATGGAAATATTTCCTCTAACATGGATTATGACCATAAAACATTAAAAGTGAGACTGAATTTAAGTTTTTGGCTTGATGAAACGAAACCATCAGTTCAGTGAGTTTTCAGTGCCGATGCTGAATCTGTTGGAAAGAGCAAAGTTTGCGCCTTAATTTAAAAGGTTGATTATGTGGCTAAGACAGTTTGTAGTTCTGCTGTGTGCTTGTCCTGTTATGCAGCACAAACACACTATTTACTTTATTACATTATTATTAATTAGCTGGTTAGTGCTGAAACTTTTTGGCATTGCTACTTTACCTTTCTATTAAAATGTTGCTCCACTTACTTTTCATATCTGTTAATCCTGACTGTGGACAAAGTTTACAGGTTCCCTGGTGTTTTTTTTCTGTCCTATCTTAAAATGTATGTTTTTAAAAAACAAATAATTTTCTGCAGTCAGATATTTGCAGGTGCTTGCTCAGCAAAAGCTAGAGACACAGAGGTGCTACTTTAAGCCAGGACCAAACACCATCTTGTGTTGGAAACACGATTTTACAGTCATTAGCAACAACTTTGTGTTTTCTCTGAGATGGTGGCTCTGATAACTTGCTTTTAACTCGTATTCAGTTTGTTGTGCATCTGTGTGTGAAGAGGAAAGGAAGTTAAGTTTCGTAATTTTGACAAAACTATGGCGTCTCGACGTCTCAGGATGTTTAAAAACAGCTCCATCCCTGTTTCAAAGATAATTCAAATATGAAAATGGATCTGATTGACATTTCCTCCTGAACCCACCTCTTCGGTGTCAGCCTCCGTTACTCTGTTCACCACATATTTGTGTTCATCTCCAGGCTTCACGCTGAGCAGGTTGAAGCGGAGGTTGCTGTTGAGGCCAAGGCCTCGGCAGTGCTCAAACGCCTCCTCCCAGCTCTTTTTCTCCTTTACCAGGATCACGTTGTCGTCCAGGCAGAAGAACGGATGAAGAGTCTGGCAGTTCTCAACAGCCAGCCTCTTTGTTACTGAAGTGATGGTTACACAGTCCTTGTTGTCACTCGGCTCTAACTTCCAGTATTTGTCCTCCTTGAGGCCTGAACTCCATTTCCATGAGCTGTCTGAAGAAAAAATGAATCATTTTGTCAGACATTTCTTTTCACCTGAGCTTAGAATGAGGAAAAGCTAAATAACTTCTGATGCAGCTGCAGCTCGTCTATCTGCAAATGGAAATCTTAACTTTTGCTCAGGATGTTCAGTTCAAGCAGCAGATTCTTCTTAGTCACTTTCTGAATCCTGAGCAACTTTAGCGCCAAATCTGGTTTATTGGTAATAATGTTTAAACCACAACTGGAGGAAATGTTTGTTTTTACCATGTCTGTGAAGTCCGATCCAGATGGGAAAGTCTTGCTGACTGAAAACCGTCATTTCCTCCTCTGTAAAAGTTGCCAGCTCCTGACTGATTTTCATGCAGTGCTCCTTTGCCTCAGACCAACTCATCATCTCCTGTGTTATGGTTGTAGA